TAAAAACGAATCTTCGGGAGAGAGGGAGTATGCAAACTCTGGAATGACACCATTTGAAATCAAACCAGTGTTTTTTATCCATTATGCCTGTCATAATTGTTAGGTACTGTGATGGTGAATTTTGTAATTATCCATTGCTTTTTGTCTCCAAAACTGTTTTAGTCTATGTTTTGATATTTTACTCTTTCTTTGGCGAATTCCTCATTTTATTAGGATCCAGTTCAAAATAATGTAGAACTAGTGGCTGTGTAGTTTTTAAAATCAGTTATGGGGAGGGAGGAAATAGGTGAGTGTATACACTGTGTGGAGGATTAGTATTTTCACCACTGGCAGTGAAGAAGCAATGTAGATCCCTTGCCCCCCTCAAGTACTGCTTTGGCGACAAAATGGTAACAGTAACGAGAAAAGAGTGAACAAAATTTGTGTCTTCCTTCTATCATCTAATTTGAGGTTTTTCAACTTTGCGAAGTTGTGTTTCTTTAAAATGTGTATTCTGTGGAGCCCTAAATTAGTTGAATACTGTACTGTCACCATTAAATCTTGCCAAAAACTGTAAAATTAACTAGTCATAACTGACTTCAATTCCCATTGCTTTCCCTAGGATCAAATGGCCTTTTGCATTGAGGTCAATTAATTTTTGTTTCATGTCTATTTGATACATTGCATTTGTTCCCGTCAATATCAAGGTATACCTTTTAATAAATGTTATGTCTCCAAAAAAATTTCAAGGAATTATTCCATCAATTAAGATTTCATTGATAAATGATATATGGGATTTTCATGAAATATTATTGAATATCCTGTTCTTACCACTTGGAGTTATACTTCTGAAATGCCACAGTACTTTTGAATAATTTGGAACTTTCATATGCAAAATAAATTGGTTGTTCATAGAACATCTAGGTCATATTCAAGGTGGAAGTAAATTTGTTCAAGCAGAAACTCGCTTATTTGCTTGGGTTTTCCTTAGAGATAATTACATTTCAGTTTTGCTTGGGTTTCAGAAGAAATGACTGGTTGCATTATCCTAAAGTCTCAAAGGTATGCTATATGATGACTTTCTTCCTCTTACAGGCAATGGGTGTCTACCTCTATGGAGAATTAATGTTGAATGAGGATGCAAAACAACAAGAAATTGCCTTTAAAACTTTTGCTATAGTCCGTGACCACATGGATGCATCCTCAGCTAAAGTAGTGGCAGAAATGTTATATGACAAGGTGATTCTCCCCCCTCCCCCGATAATTTAGTTGGGCACTTTCAAAGGTACAGCAGCTGTACCACAAGAAAGCTTATAAATAACAGGATGTTTTCAGATCTATTGTATCAAGTCATCTAAAATAGCGATATAACCTTGAATCAGGTAAAAAGACTTGATATAATTCTTACAGTATTAAAGAAACAAATCCTTAAATTATCCTTATTTTATCAGTGAACAAATGTTTATTTTCCCCCCCTGAAGAGACCAATCTCTTCAAGAAAAAGATAATTCCAACTATGTATCTGTTAGGTATTTGTAAGAGGTTGCAGCGACAGTTCATATGGAACTTATATAAGATTATATGAAAAGCTTCTGTATGGACTGGGATGAATTACAAGCCATGTAGTGCTTTCCTCATACTTGCTAGAATCTTTGCTAGACAGCGCAAGTCAACTACAAAATCTTCTGAAATACAGTCATTTTTGAATTTTACAATATGCCAACTTTTTACTCCATCCTTTTTAACTGCATAAAGCATGAAGTATAATGGTTCCAATGCCAACTTTAAGGGGAGTATGAACATCTTAGAAAAAAGCTAAGAACAATTTAGCTTTGATTTACTATCATGCTTTGAACATCAAAAACCAGTTCCAAATGCTTAACATATATATAATGAATAACTTTGGTATTCATAGGGCAAATTTAATTATAAAAAACTTCCCTCAACTGTTTAGGACTTCTGGGATGTAATTTTATAATGCATGTATGGAGTAATTAATTGAGAGTACTTGAAGCATCCCTTACACACCTGCATTCTGTAGGTGCAAATTGGGGGAACTCTCGGGTATGAAAGTTCAATATATTAAAATGAAACTTCCAGGATTATGAAATTGCTTCCATAAATCTTCTTCAGGAGACAGGTATCAATTCTGTGACCTGTTTTGTAATCCTGTAATTCTTAAGCATCTTTTCCCACATACTATAGAGTGAAAGGAAGTGACATGTCTTGCAGTTTAATACTTTGTAGCTTTTTTTTGGTTGTCTTTCTTTAAAAGGATAGGAGTATGTTGTAAATCGGGTCCCCCAACCCCCAGGCCATGGCCCACTACTTGGCCATGGCCTATGCGCAACTGGGCCATGCAAGTGGCAGCTGGTGTGCCTGTGTGTGCAGCTTGACTTGTGCAAATGGTGGGCCAGTACACATGCACACGTGTAGCTCAACTTATGCAGATCAAGCTGTATGTGCATGCACGCTGGCCCGTTGCTCCCACAAGTTGAGTTGTGCACACGCACACCTACTGTACAGCCCAGTTCCCCTCTTCACTCCCCCCCCCCACCAGCTGCCAAGCCAGTTTGGGGACCAGTTTTAAATGGTTTATAGTATGCCCCATATGACTTTAGAATAATTTCATAATCTTCATTAATTTACTTATGCTTAATGCTTAATTTACTTGTACACCATTCTAATTGTTTCTAGAGCTGATCTAAAGCACTAATGTATTCTAACATAAATGTGAAAGTTTTTTTTTTTTAGTCTTCAGTTCTCAGATAAAATTCTTATTACAACTGACAGTTTGTACAGGTTCTATTCCTGTTTTGGTTGTTTGGGTTCCTGGCATGCTGATTTGTGATTTAAGATTAAAATCACATTGCCAGGGATTACCACATAACCATGACATTACCTTCTGTGGCTTACTTCATGATGATCCCCCGTTACAGCTTCTTGGAACCTGCTATGCCTTAAGATACACAGAGAAGCTATTGAAGGACTTCAACTGCTTTTTAACTATGTTCAGATGGAGGACCTCTCTAGTGAGGTGCAGAGCTTAGCTGATTGGTGAACAGTGATTGATTTCCTCTTTGTTCACAGTGGCTAAGTTCTGCACCTGAAGAGAAGGTGAGATGCAAGCCGTTCCTAAAATTTCAGGTTCCGATTGCTCCTGCAGCGTTTGTAACATAGCAAGTATTTTCACAGAATGCAAATGATAAACAACGAAGAGGCCACCCAATCCTTGTATGCTTCTGTCTACCAGGAATGAAAAGAACCTTTATGGGGCGAAATCCAAGTTTAGTTCAGCTGCTTTAAAAGAAGTTTGTTATACTTGGGTTTTCTTAGCCCTTAGATACTAATGTAGTGTATCAACTCAAGAATGCCTTTCCACCTCTGGAGCCTTTTATATATTTGCCTTTAAAATGAACTTAGCATTTAAGCATCCAAGTTGCAAGTTGTAATAAGCTGGACAAATTACTATTGTTTCTAATAAATGCTCTTTTCTTTTTGTTGGTATGAGAGTTGCCCTTCGCAGCAGTTGCTGTTCCAGGCTGTTGATGGACCCGTCCTCCGGTGCCTACTGAGCTGATATCAGTTCTGATTTTATATACTGGCTCAGTTCAGCAGGAACAGGAGTCGAGCCCTAAAGCAAAAACCAAAACCAAACAGAAAATCTTTTCTGAGTACACAGATGTCGGTGAAAACTAATGTTTACTTCAAAGCTAGAACAGATTGATATTTTGATGGGAAGCACAAATCCTTATGTGGGCTACCCAGCCACAATCCTGCAGAAAACACAATGATTAAGTATGTGTAGGATGCGTCAAGGAATTCTTAACTCAAGCAACAAACGTAACAAGTGATCTCTCAAATGCTTTATTCTTCCAATGTTTTCAGAAAGGATAGTTGTGAACTTTCTTGTTGTTTTCTTCAAATATATATCCTAGACACAACAACTGTGATAATTGCATAGTTAGAAGTTCCTTACAGTATTCTGGTGTGATTTTTCCCTTCTGTTATGGAACACCGCAGTCTCCTGCCTTCTCAAATTGCACAGAAGCTGACAGGAAACCTGATAGTCACAGAACATCAAGTTACCAATGCTGCAATTCTTTCCCACTGTCTGCATTCAAGAAAAATTAGAGTGGCAGAGGCGCCATCTTAAGAAGTGGGGTTGTAAAGAATAGTCATCACATTTATTACTAATACTTTGCATGCATTTTTTAAAAAAGTATTGTTTCACTGTGATAGAATAATATGTTTTACCACTGTTTCCCTTACAGGAAAGGCAGAGACTTTAACTATATTTGTTACCAAATGCTGGTGGTATTAGAATTTCTTTGACTCTGGACATCAAAGGGAGAATTATGTTGCTGCTAAAACAATCAGCTGAAAAACATTTTATGCAGAGTATGTCTTTTTCTGGAAGGTGAAAGAAACCAGGAGGAACAAGTCCTTCATCTCCCTTATAGTAAAATACAATTATGACTGTGAATCCAAGGCCAAAAAGACAAAAGAAATATACAAAGAGCTAAACCCTTCAATCAAGGAAATATTACATTAATTTAAATTGAACCTGATGTGCTTTGCTTAAAGGAGGATTACTGATTTTGTTATAGCATAAAGCCCTAACTCAGTCACACTATAATATAGGCATTGTATTAAGCAATATTCATGAAATAGTGCTCTCCTGTGCCCAATGCTGGCTACCAGTTTCATTCAAAGCAATATGATGCAACCTCAATAATATGTGAATTTGTATCAGTCCTTTCTTTGTAAATAAATATTTTGTAAATAAACTGATTATGTAAACATTGTGACTTGGAGTTTTTATTGCTTGAGACATATCTGTTAACTGTGTGTGTATATATACACACATACTCATTTTTCAATTGTCAGTGGATGTACTGAGTTAAAACTCTGCAGCCATGTCCTAGTTAGCTAAGAGGGGAGACACACTATTACTCATGCATGTATCCAGTCAGTGTAACTCTATTTACCCCTTTTTGTCTCTTAAACCAAAGTAATGCTTCTAAATTTTAATCAGCTGAATTAAACTGCTAGCAGTCCTGGATTCAGCTCTGCAGACATCTGGAGCCTGCATGGCCTCTTACTGAGCTACAGCAATAGCTCTTACTGTAGACCTTTTGATGTATTCAAGAAAGGATCCAAACTATTCTTGAAAGAGGTTGTGCTCTATTTCACAGCCTTTTGCAAAGGACAATGAAGGAAAAGCAGCTCATCATTTTGTTATGCCACTGTGAAAGATAATGGGCTGAGTAAGGGAATTCAGAAAGTAAAACATCACAAAGAAAACAATTGTCTCATGATTTAAACTATATTAAGATGATTGTTTTGCCAAATGTAGAACACTATACAAAACTCCATAAAAGCTCTAGATAGCATACATTATTAACAACAAACCCATGAAAACAAATAAGAACAATCCAAGAAGAAATATTTCACTTTTGGTAAAAGTCAATTTTACATTCAAGAATTTCTCTTAAATGTGCATCCACTTCCATCACAGCTCTCCCATTTAAAAAAAGAAAGAGACCTCTGTTGACATGTTTGGATATTGCTAATTAATTCCCTTTAATGCCAGACATTGGACATACATTTAGTAGTGTTGAGTACAAAATAACAATTATTTGATGCTCACAAGATCAATTAATGTAAGTTTAGAAAAGAGAAACTGAATGCCAGTAACATCTCCTTCTTTTTGTTGGGTATTTTAATTCTGTTAGGTGTATGTATTGGGTTCTGAATAAGAACTCATTGGGTTCTGTTTGATATAAAAATAAGACTATATAACCTGCCTTCATAAAACATATTAAGAATATATAAAGTATTAAATGACAGATATTTAGTGCTTTTGTATATAGACCTGTGTTTCTGACTTAATGCATGGAAGATGAGTGACAACACACACCTTCTTAATCCAAATGCAGACATTACGTTTTCCTCCAGTTCTTCTCATGCTGTGATAATTATTTTATTTCTATAGTGTTCTTCCTCCCAAAAAGAGCCCAAGAGAATCTGACAGGTTGATTGACAATCTGTCCCTAATCTGGTGCTTCAGGCTTTCCAACAGATATACTCATTGCCACTGTAAGTCAGTCCATCCACTTTCCTGCTGGTGGTGTTTGTTTTCCCTTTCCACCTTTCTCTAGCTCTCTGAAGAGCCGCCTTCAGAGAGCAAGGTCTTTATGTAACGTATCCAAAGTAGGGTAATTTGAGTCTGGTCATTATTTTTCATTAGCCAATTAAAGAGAACTATGATTAATTATAAGAAAGCTTAATGTGGAAAAGCAAAACCTTTAGCTGTTTGTAAAACAATTTCTTTTTTCTATACTTTACTATTGCTTAAAACAAAATGACAAGCCTAGGGAGAAATCAACTACTGAAGGATTGCTGCTTGTCAATTGAAAGTTGGTTAGGTTGCTTGTTGGTTGGCAGGATGGCAATGGGGATGCAAGACTTCAGTCACAGTTGTGATGTTTGTAGAATGCTGGCCATTAAAAGGGCCTAGTCAGTTTGAGTATACTTAAGCCCTTCAGAAAGCAGCTCAAGGGCTTTTAACACCTTTTATAGAGTCAGACAGTCGGTTGAAGGAATACAGCCAGAAAAAGCAAGGGAAACCGTTCTGGCATTTGGTATTACATGGACCACCCCTGTGCAAATTCCCAGAATCAATGTTAAGATAGCATTTAAATTGCAACTATGAACATGCCTTTGAAAAAAGGGTGTGTGTGTCAAATTTTCAAGCATGAGACAGCTTGATAGGAAACAGCACATATGTGGTTCTGAATTAGGAACACCTGAGGTACCTCCTAACAGGCTGTTTTTCTAACTTTCCTTAAAACAGCCATCTAAAAATGCAACTTGAGTCCCTTAGTGATCTAGGAAAGCTCCACAAGTATTACTGCAAGAAACAGTAATTTCTAAAATGGAAGAAGAAGAAAAAAGACTGTTAAAATCAGTACTTTGAAATGAATGATCTCCTCTAGGAGATGATGTTGAAATACACAATAAGTAGTCCTTGACTTTTGACCACATTTGGGATGGGAACTTTGGCGGTTACGCATTGGGATTGTTAAAATGAATCACGTCCGATTATACAAACTTTTTTGCCATAAAACGAATCACATGGTCGTTAAGCAAAGGTTTCTCCTTTTGACTGACTGAAGCCAGCTGGGAAAGTTGCAAATGGCAATCATGTGATCCTTTTGTAAATATATGCTGGTTGCCAAGTGCTTGGATGTTAATCGCAATCGTAAAGGCAAGGACCATTCCTAAGCGTCTTTCTCCAGCGCCATCATAATTTGGAATGGTTGCAAATTGAAGGATTAACTGTAGAATGATGGCCATTGTCCAATTCTACAAGAGTCACATTATTTATTTCCAGGAGTGAGAGGAACAGATCCTAATTTGGCAAATAATACGTTACATAGTCTAAGGGGCAGAGAAATCTCTATATGTCATAATTTTTCCTAGGTTTAAAGGGCTAGTTGGCAGAATCGATATATAATCGAATTTATATAAATTAAGAGATCGAGAACATCATATTTCAGACACCAGTTACATAGTGCAGGGGGCAGAATGGCCAGATTTTATACATACAGCTCAGCAATGAAATCCTGATGTAGCTCATTTATCGTTGTTTAATGTTTGTGGGTACACTTTTTCTCCTGCTTGTCTTTGGAATGCATCCCATCCCTCAAAAAACATGTTGGCATAAGAACTCCATTATTCTTATGTGGGAGGAGATTTAAATCAGAGGCCTTAAAGGAAACTTCTAAAAATCCAAATGTGTAGTTTCCAGGAAGAATGTTCTTCTTGTTCATTATTTAAAAAATGTGAGAGTTTTCCAAACAAATCATCTATTTATGAGATTGAGATAAGATTCTTAAATTGCAAATTGGGAGACATTATGACTTTTTATCCTTGAATGTACAAACTTTTAATAGCAGCTTGTTACAAAAGGAGGATTTTTTAAAATCAATTTTTAAATTGCACAAATCTTTCCTTGGCAGTGTTCAAAGTCTGCAGCTCAGGAAAGGTCTGTGGTCCATGGCCCCAGGAAAGGAAAATATATTTGCTGACTAATGCCACTTTAACAAAATATGATATTTGCTTCCTGTTGAAGAAAAACAAGTTAGAAGAAACACAAGGAGGTGTTTGGTCACTGATATAATGGAAACATTTAGTTCAAAAAGGACTCACTAATAATCATGTGTTTGTAATGGGGCTGAGATGCCACTAAGTGGTATAGCAGAAATAAGCTGTTTGATCAGATTGTAAATGATGGCATCAATAAATAATGCCACTTTTAAATATTTTCTCACAAAGACAAAACAGCTTTACAATGCACTTTTGAGTAACTTTGAAAATACTTCTGCAAATGCAGAGAAGTCACATGAACATCATAATATATAGATTACAAATAACAGATTTGTCTCCCAGACTCTTTCAGAAAATGCCCAATTGGAAAACAGGTACCTTCTCTCTTTTCCACAATTCTGAATTGTTAAGCACTATATCGGAATTCCTGGAGCAGATCATTTGCTAGCTTTACAGAGCATTGATATTTCACTCCAAGATGGCTAGTTGTATTTGAGATATGGGTAAGAAGTCCAGTTACTTGTGGGATTTCATCACTTTCAGCTAGAATCTGAAAGAAGTTGGGGGGAAGGGATTAAAATTAAATTTAAAAAAACTAAAATTAAAAGTTAAAATACTACCTCTCCTGGTTCAGGCAAACATTTTCCTACTTTCTAACATGCTAAATAGTTCACAGATATTCACGGACCAAAAGAGAAAGCAATTTTTTTTAAAAAAGCTCATTCATTCAAAAAAGGACTCAAAACAGGGAAAGGGTATTAATGATTTCTCAAGTAGAAGTGTTTGTTGCTGATTAGTTTCTGTTCTGCCCAGTGTGGAGGGAACCAGAATTATTCCACAAAGAGGATCTTCTGCTAAATATTTTCAAGAGCTGAGCAGCAGTAAAACATGCCAAAGCACAGGACCTTATTAAATTAAATCCAATGAAGGTTTGGGGAAAAAAAACATGACTGTTATCCCTTTAGTCAAAACCAGTTAATCATTTCAAATTGCTAGATCAGACTACAATTCCCATTTCTGATCTATGATTACTATCTCGGGTGATGGGAGGTATAGCCAAACACATCAAGAAAGTACCATGTGGAAAAATTGAGACATATAAATGACTTATTTTTTTCAGTACGGGAATTGCTATTAGGGAAAAATAAAACTTACGTAGGCAATAAATTCTCTGGCTATGCTGTGTCCATTAGGAGTAAATAGCACAAAGCTGATAATCAGATGCGTAACAATATGTTTAGTTGCAGTTAGAGTGGTTTTGCTGTTGAATAAAGTTTGTAGGTCTGCAACAGAAATGGTTGGCATCCTTGAAAGGCTTGTCAGATAGTCACATGCAGATCTAGCTTCTACCTGTTGACAATAATTGGAAGGAATTAAAGGGTTAGCCGAAGAATAAAAGTCATATTCATTTCATGAAATTTGCAGAAAAGTACAGACTGGATTCCTAGGCTGGTAACACGGAAAGTAATAGAGTGGGGAAGGGAAGGCGACTGTGGGCTAGAAGAGGAAAGACACAAAATATTTTGTGGGGGAAAGAACAGAAGGTTCTTTGAGGGCTCACCACAATGCTACAACTACAAATCAATTAAACTCCATGCAATCTGACCTCTTCTGATAAAATTTTTTGATATGAATTCAAGTGTTTGGCTTCCTCCTAGTAATGTGGTCAAAAGTTTCCCTCCCCACCTTTTTACCTCTTCAACCAGCTAGAACAAACAGCTTTTGGAGCCAAAATGGAAGCAACATTTGATGGTCTGTGCATTAAAGGAAATTATTGGCCAGATATAACTTGAAATATTTACTACATAAAAGCCATGTCAGGGATAGAAAAGAAATAAAAATCAATATGCAAATCTCCTGTTTAAATGTCTTTATCTCACAGTTATTTTTAAACACACAATCCATTCCTTTTCTATTGTCAATCACTATATAGTATTGCATGAATTGTGCCCAAAGTCAAATATTTACATATAACATATTTACCCTTGCCACCATCTAACACAGATTCTTGGTGACTCATAACTTAAAAACGCAATAATAACATTCATTAAATAAAAATGACAATCAAAATAGGCAAACCCAAACTCCAAAAGGCAGCTTTTAAGGGATGTCAGCCCTTAACCCACCTATGAGACCCAGCTTGGTGAAGTGGTTAAGGCACCAGGCTAGAAATGAGGAGGCTATATGTTCTAGTCCTGCCTTAGTCATGCAAGCCAGCTTAAGCTAGAGATCATAGTGGCTGACATCTACACTGTAGCCCTCTGCCTTTTTGTGACCTACTTTTCTCAAGAAATAAGATTATTCAAAGGTAGCCAGAACAAGGAAGTAGCTAGGACTGTTTCTTGAACTTCTGAAGGCTTAAATACAAATATAAGTTTCAGTTCCCTGATAATGCTGGCCCACATTCTCCAAATGAGAAAAGGGAAACCAACATTAATAGATAGGATAAAAATTAACAATGGTGTTGAAGATGGAATACATATTCTTTATTTTATCTATAAAATGCTATGTAGAAAACACTAAGAAACAACTATAATAAGCAAGCAGGCAGAGCATAAAAAACCAGTGACAATTTATCTCGTTTCTTTCAAACATAAATTTTCTGAGTAAATTTTCTGAAACTTATTTTTGTTTGACATTTAAATAGAATTGTTCTGGTCTTACACTAAGTAACAAATCAAAGTAGCCTTGCTATAAACCATATTATTTGAAATGCATGATGTAAAGTACTCAGATAATTTAACTTTTAGCTCAGGATAATTTCCACATCCAGAAATTCATTTCTAAACTTAATCTTCTATAAAGTTTCATATGTTTCATGGCAGTTTCATTCTTTTAGTATGCTCAAGGATTAAATATATTCCTTTTCTCTGTGGAAATTGCTGCAGACATTGCTTTTTTTTTTTTGGAAACCCTTTTATCCTTAATTTCTTAGGCATCTGTGTTGCAACTATAGAAAAAGAAATGTGGGATGGAAACTATTTACTGTAAAATGTTAACTTAGGACATGAGCAGTTACAGAAATTAAAGGTGCAAATGGAACCCTGACAATAATTTAATGAAAGGGGACTTGGGAAGCAGAGGAAGTGGCAAGTAACATTAACAGAAATTACAAATATTTTGTGGTGCCAACTGTTGTGCTATTTTCCACTAGCCAAAGACAACCTTAGATTCTGTTATTACTAGTAGCTCTTTCGCAATTATGTATTTAATACTATATTTCAGTAAAGCTGTTCCCATCCAAGGAGACTTTTTATGAATATTATAATGTATATTAAGCATAGATGCCATAGAAGGGCAATCAAAACATAAATATTAATAACTTTTGTGTTAGTCTATCCTTGAGAGAAGCACTGGAATGTTCAATTGTCATCACTACATAGACCACCTGAAAATTGCTCAGAGCAACTTGACTGACTTAACTGCTCTCTGGCCTTGAGCCAATGGACCACCCAATTGTCAGCTCGCTGAGAAATGTGAAAGAGGCAAAATGAATGAGAATGTTTTAATAAGAATTTAGGAGAAAAAGAAAGAGAAAGACAAATATTCTGCTTTAGACCGCTGTCAACCCATAAAATATTTCTATGGACTTTTTAGAGTTTCAACAGAAAGGGAGGGGGGGAAAGGGTTTGAAAGAGCAGTGTAGCAGCTTGGAAAGCGAAAGTGCATTCCATAAATAGTTTTTCAAAGATAGTAACTAAGTGACTGAAGTTTCTGCGGAGCAAAATTCTAACTGGAGAACATGATTGATGACTCTTGGCTATGGATGTGTCTCATTGGAGAATATGAATACACCCAGGGGGTGGGGGAAATCCAGGGTCAAGGGTGACAATTATGTCCTTCAGAGTCGGCTACACCCAGACAGTGCCGGACATGTTAACTCCTAATAATCCTTTCGAATTTTTGGAAGTTTGGCTTGAGATTCATGATTTAACTGGGGTAACTGCCGGAATCCTAACACAGTGTTTCACTTCTATAATAGAATGCAGGGGAAGTAGTCCTTGAGTTACATTTATTTGTTCAATGACTGATCAATGTTACAATGGTGCTGAAAAACATGGATTTACAATTGTCCCTCAAAATTCTGGCCATTGCAGCATCCCTGTGATCATATGATCAAAATGTTGGCCAACTGGCATTTACAATGCCCCCTCCCATCGCCACTCCCAGAAGATCTTTGTCACCTTCTTTGCCTCTGCTGGGCTTGCCAACTCTGGCTGACCTCAAGAACTATGGTGTGGGGCCTCTGTCGGTCATGTTGTGCACAGTACCCCCACCTTCTCCAGATAATTTGCTCGGCAGGAAGCCTATAATCAAATAACCACCAGCAATTGCTACCAGGTATTCGGCCAGGTGCAGGGGAGGCACCACAGAAACATTCCCACTTTGCTACTCAGAGGGGGGACTGTCCCACCCAGGAATGGTATGCAGAGAATTCTTGCCTTTCCTTCTCAGTGGGGTGATAATAACTACCCATCTGTGCTCCCTCATCCAACTTCTGCGCCCATCCTCTCCCATCTGCTGGCTTGCTTCTCTGGGACTCCTCTCTCTTGCTATGTCATGGTCACATGACCTCACTTAAATAACCTGCATTGTCTTGGGGTTATGATAATAATTGGGATTGCCATTACCAAGTGATGTGGCCATCTTACATGGTACTTTATAACTGCATCGTTTAGCAACAACAGTTCTGGTCCCATTTGCTCTTGTAACCCAAGACTACCTGAGCTAAATGACATTTTACTTATTTTAAAGTAAGCCATTTTAAGGGTAGGCTAAAGTTCAGTAATATCACTAAAATAATAGCACCACCCTTTATATTAAAATTATTTAATACAATAGTTATATTAATAGCACCCATCTTTATATTAAAAAGTATTTGGCAAAATAATACCAGAAAAAGCCACATATGATATATAAGGTTAACCTACTTTCACCATTAGTGATCATTGTAGAACTACTGTCTTATTGTTAACACTCAAAGTTTAAACATATGGTCACACAATGAGACTCTCAAAAGCCATAAAATCTTCTCACTAAATAATTTAGAAGTAAGAACCATCAGAGAATATAATTGGCGGAATACAAATCTTGGATCTTATACAAGCCATGGGGCTATGGGGGCTTTTGTTAGGCCATCTCATTCTCATTTATCTAATCCTTTAAACCACTCTTTATTTTTCATTCCTGAAGACTTTAAAAGAAAGCTAATGAAGGATGCTTTAGCAATGATTTCTGAGCGGTTTTGCAAGCATTGTCACAAAAATATCAGCTTTGTTTTTCAAAACATTATTATTTTATATATAATATTATTATATTATATTACCATAGCTAGAACTTCTTACCATTATTTGAGTTCTCTGCCGATTCATGTTGTTTGGACTATAGTAAAATACCAAAAGCCACAACAAGTTAGAAGACTCTGCTTGTGACAACAGCAATTGCTTTGCTGTAAGATCAGCCCATTCTCCAAAGTGAATCAACAAAAACCAATTGTTGAAGAGTTCATCCAAAGACCTGGAAAAACATCAAAATGTGCATCAGCTTTTCTATTTACAGTGGTACCCTGATACTCATCGTTAGTTGGCTACAGAAGGCGCAATGAATACCAAAAGCCATGAGTACCAAATAATTGTTTTCCATAAGAAATAATGTACTGAGTCACAAGACAGCTGACACTGGTAAGTTCTAGCTTGTGTATTGAGTTCCAAACAAACGAGTACTGCGACAAAGTTTTTGTGTCAAAATGGGCTGTACCAAATTCAATGAGTTTCAAAGCAACTGAGTACCAAGGTACTACTCTATTGGAATATGACAAGTTCTCAGAAGGCTCTAAACTGCAACTATTAAAACTAGCAAAGTTTTTATCTGAAGATCAATGGGAATAGTAATATGCAATAGTGCTAATTTTACAGTAACAGAAATAAGGCATTGAAAATAATAGTTTGTTTCCCATACATGGTAGCAAAATACAAAAAAGATAGCTCACAAACTAAGACCATCTTTAAAAAAGAAGAAAGGAAATCCTGTTGCTTACTCAGAGCCTTTGATCTCTACTGTTGTTTTGAGCATTCCAGCAAGGTGGTCTAAATGCTGATATACACCATTATCAGGCAAATCTAAAGAGAAATATGAACACGTATTAGGCATATTTTGATGGAAATATGGGAGATATAAGCAAAACAAAATATTGTTTGCTTGCTGAACTCATATTAACGAAAAAACGGAAGTAAGCTTACCTGAAGGAGATTTAAGAAGAGCCATCACAAGTGAATGTGGATTATGAGGAAAATAGGCCTTCAGTGGAAATTTATGCTGAAATGAAATTATTTTTTTTAAAAAAATCTAGTCATCTTATGGACCTAAACCAATTTATGACGATTTTTAAAATTTGCCATAAGGGAAGATAAGCATCTAAAGCACAAAAAATGCTTTCTGTACTTAAGGAAACCAACATTTCTGGTTAAATTATTGCAATGCCGTATATATCACAACTCCTCAATGAACTTTCTATTACATTTTGAAATTCTAACCATTGCAGCACCCTTGTGATCATCTGATAAAATGCTGGCCAATCTGCATTTACAATGATGCCCTCTTACAGTACAAATACTTGCACAGAAATAGGTTAGAAGAGACTGTATAATTGGCCATTCAATTCTCTGTGACACAATAAAAAAAAAAAAGGTTTTCTACAAATATGTAGTAGCATGGGGTTAGAAAGGCTATTTTACTATGCAGCTGCTTTCAAGTAATGTTTCTACGTGATTTGGATAAAGTTTACAACCAATAATTGATGTTCACCATTTTTAGGGAAAGCTACTTTAATGCATCAGTATCCATTTAATGGGAAGCAGAGGTTTCAAAGTTCACAATTTTCAAAATAACCATAAGAATCTATGTGGGCTTCTGGTTTGAAGGGCTTCGGCGACAGACAGAAATTTGCGATCGTGCGCAGTTTCTTTCTGGGCTCGCCGCTGGAGCGCCCCGAGCCGGCTGGTTTTGGGGCTAAGCCACCCCGTAGAGGTGGTGAAGAGGGGGGAGACCGCCAGCAGGGTCGAGGAGAGCCGCATCTCTCCTCCTCAGCTAGCCATTACTCCCTTTCCCAAAAGCAGTTGCAGCGGTGGTCAGAAATGGCCACCACAAAGAAGAACTCGACCGGAAAAGAATGTGCAGGAGGAAGATAAGAAGTGAAAGTCTTGGCTGACCGGGTTAAATTGTAAAAGCAACAACCAAGGTACCCTGGAATTTAAACTTACAAAAAATAACATCACTCCCAAAGAAGAGTCGGAAGCAGCGAAGGAAAGTGAAAAGGGAAAGGTTTGGCTTTTTTTTTCTTCTCTCTCCTTCCCTATACTGACAACTAAGAGACTTAAATAAGAAATCGGAAAAATCCGCTTTGACATCAATAGGCAATTAGCTAAAAATAAAACAAAATGCCAAAGGGATAATAAAGATTTCTGGACATTAAAAACTTTCTTTTTCATAAGCAGGAAGGGAGAGAAAAAGAATAAGGGCAGGATCTGGAAGAGGAAGGAGACTGTCTGGAATTAAAAAGAATCTAAAGTAAAACTTCAACAAGACTTCTAAAAGATAGGGGATTTCCGGTTTGTCGGCTTTGCGAGCGGTAGGGATTCGCGAAGCTGCGCGATCCCTGCCGCGCTAGCCGTTTTTGGGGCTCCGACCCGAAAGGGTGCGGAGCAAGGCTGCCCTGCAGGGGCAGCTGAAGGTAGGGGGGATCCGGGAAAGGGTTTGGGGGTGCTGCAGACCCCCTCCCTAGCCGGCAGAACCTCCTTTTACCAAGACGGAGCAGCGGCGGTCCGTAATGGCCGCCACAAAGAAGCCGGCAGCTGGGCAAGTATGCGCTGGAGGAAGAGGAGAAAGTTTTTAAAAAGTGAAAGTCTTCTTGGTTGACCCAGGACTCTAAGATATATTTAATTTAATTCCTGAAAATGATGGCTTTTTGGATGATTCTTTCCACAAGAGGAAATAAGCGGCAATTCTGAGGTGCTGAAAGGAAAGTTTACTCTCCCCCCCGACGGAATTAATAAATGGATATTGAGAAACCTGTTTTTTTTTCAGGTAAAACTAGCCTTTTGGGATAAGTCGGAAGGGAGAGGACAAAAAATATATTTATCTGGTTGGATTTTGTTGGAGGAGATGCCTTAAGGATTTGAAAACAGAAATAAAATCTTAATAAGGCTTCAAAACACAGATTTGAACTTTCTTTTTTCCTTTGTCTGATACTACCCCTGGAAGAGAAAGGGGGAATTTTGGCTTGGCTTGGATTGATTGAGGATTGTGGACTTTGGGGTTGTCTTGTTTTTCTTTTGGAATATTTTGGTTGGTGTGAGAAGAAAGAGGGAAAAAGAAAAGAAAAGATCTATAATGGCTTTTTCTTTGGAGGAACTGAGGGATGAATATGAGCAAACAAAAGCAGCCTGTAAAGATGGTATGGAAAAAGCTTTTCTTTTTTTAAAAATGGCGTTGGTTAACTATGAACAGACAATACAGATGGAAGCTGAAGAACAACAAGAAGAAGATGAAGACGCCATCTTCAATGAATCCCAAAATTCATCTAAGAAAGAAGGAAGGAAGAAAGCGAGGAAAATGAAGGACTTAAGATCTAAAAAAATATTTAAGAAAGAGAAAAATATGATGCAAAATAAATACAATGATAGCAAACAAGAGAAAAAGGGAATACAACAGAGAAGGGATGCTGGCAAGACAGAGGTTAGAAGAAGGGGGGGTAGGAAGATTTGGTGGGGAAAGAAAGAAAGGGGAAAGGCGGAGAAAAGCCACAAAGTTTTAAAATTAGATGGGAAAAGAGGAATCCTTTTTAGGGATAATGGGTAAAGCATAATTTTTTTAAAAAAAAGATTCTGCAAGGTACACAAGATGGTACTGTAACATCCGTATTAGAAATAGAAAATTAGAATGGCTTAAGAGTTAATAAGAAATTAAAATGTTGAAATGTTTAATAATGATTGATTTTTAAAATGTAATAAAATATTGAAGGGAAAGGCAATGAGAATGCTATAAGATTTATTATTTAGATTTATTATTTAACTACGTATTTAGGAGGATATTATGTATTTAAACATTTTTGATTTTTTACTCTGTTTTTATTGTTACTAAAAGTAAAAATTAGTAGATAGAATGTACCAAGCAGAATCAAATTGGGTATTAGGTGTTATTTTAAATGTTAATTTAATTAATTTAGGGAGAGGATAGAAAGGCATCATACTCTGATTAGAGATTTCAGGAGAAATTCTTTTTTTTTTCATTATAAGGAATGAGATAGAGGGATAATAAAGGATGGGCAAAAGATACAAATATAATGATTTAAATTAAGATGGATTGAATAAAAGAGAATTATGAAGAGTGAAATGTATGGAGAAGTTTATATGGAAGATACAGAATGGTAAATAAAATAAGTAATGATCTGTAAGATGAGCATGAATATAATTAAAGCCCATATAAAGAGAGGTACCTGGGGCCAAGTTACTTTACTAAAAGATTTTTTATATGTATGTTTGTGTTTGTTTATGTCTTTGAGAGTATTGGTGAAACCTTGTAGAAACATAGAAAGAGAGTGATGATAATCAAGTCAGAAAGAAATAGATGAAATAATATAGAAATTTATTGTATAAGATAAAGTTTTATCTGACTTGTTAAATCTATAATGGAAAAAGGTTCAAATATGTAATGGTTGATGATGATTTTTTTCTTTTTTGAAATTAATAAAACTTGCTTAAAAAAAAAAAAAGACTTCTAAAAGATACATTTTAACTGAAACTTTGCAACTAAATAGTAACCCCAGGAAGAGAAAGTGAAAAAAAGAGCAAAAAAGAAACAGCTTGCGTCTATTTGGATTATTTGGTGATCTTTGGATTTTTGGTTATTATATTTGAATGACTAAAATCAATCGGGTGGTTGTTTAAAAATTTATACAATGGCACCACTTCTGGATGAATTGAAAATGGAACTTAAAAAGTACAAAGAAGATACACAAGAAGGGAAGGGTTCTTTTGGCTTCGTTTTTCAATTCTTAGAAATAGATATTTGGAACTATGAGAAACAACAAGAAAAGACTGCAAAAGAAGAAGACTGGGACAAAAAAGAAGCCATCTTTATAATGAACAAGTAATTCTATGTGGGGAAGAAAAAGGAAAGGGGGGGAAGAGAATGGAGAATTTAAGACTTAAAAAAACAACCAAAGAAAAATAATTCAAAAAATAAGTATAATACTGGAAAGTAACAGGGGAATACAGAAGAGAGAAATAGAGGTAGAGAGACAAGGGGGTAAAAAGGGGAGAGAGAAGAAGAGAGGGAAGAAGGAAAGGAAAAGAAGTTACAAAGGACCGGAGCAAGATATAGAGAAACAGGACCTATTTAGAGATAATGGGTGAAAATCTAACTGAAAAAGGGATTCTGTAAAGGTACATAAGATTGTATTGTTATATTAGTAATAGAAATAACTTTAGAAAATTGGAAACAACGTATGATTAAAATGAGGGATAAAATAGTTAGTGTAATTTAGTGAAATGTTTGTGAATAAAATAAGTGAAATAAAATAAATGAGAAAATTGAATTAGGAAGGAACGGGAACATTTTAATTAGTTAATGTTTTATAAAATATAAGTGAAGAGGGGGGGCAATTAACTATGGAAAGCTTATAATTGTTCCCATAGAAGTATGATATTTAATTGAAAAGTAATGTTAAAGATGTTAAGACTTTAATGAATATTAATATTAATGATAGAATTGAATTGGAATGGAATGTTGTTTTAATTATATACTTTTATAATTTTTTTTTTTTTTAAGAATACAGTGTGTATTTTAAGAATGTACCAAGCAGAATCCGAATGGAAGTTATGTGTTATATTGAATGTTACAACTTTAGGGAAAATATATAAAGGTGTCATACTCCAATCAGTAACTACAGGAGAAATTTTGTTTAATGAGAAAAGATAATAGATAATTGAAACAGGACAGACAAAAAATATAAATACAATGATTTGAATTGAGATGAGATAATTAAAATAAAACTGAGAAAATTAAAAGAGGGGAGAAGCTATGCAGAAAATGTAAAATAGTAATAAGATATGGAATAGAATATAAAAATGAGCATGAACCTGAATTTGTGTCTGTACGAAGAAATGTAACCCGGGATTATGCTGCTTTCAAAAAAGATGTTTTATTTGTATTTTTTTTCTCTTTGTGAAAACTCAAATAAAATTTACAAAACAAAAAAAAAAAAAAGAATCCATGTGAATCACCTGATGAATAAAAAATAATTCTGCAACAGGGGCAAACAGCAACAATTGTTTAGAAATCCCACTTCAAATATTTTCCGAATTAGGGTAAATCAAAACACAATGACATATATGACTCATTGTTTAGAAATACAGAGAGGTACATGATGGGATGAATAAATTATACTTCCTTGTTCTGTAATATATGTAAATCAAGATAAGAAATCATAAAAGTTTTTTGTTAAATGAAAGTTGTGAAGCAATTACTGCTTGTAAGGCAGCAAAAAATAAAGAATTCCTTCAACACATGATTAAGTTACTTAAAGAATTTATGGTAGTTTTTTAAATGGTTAAAAAAAGAAAGCTTTATCCTTTATCAATGATTATCAGATGAGGACAAATCTTTCAATACATGATGGTAGGAAACAAATCAACATGGGAGGTAATTATATGACTAAGAAGACTAAGGTCTTAGCCTAAATCAGCCAAAAATTATTTCATTTTCATTCATTCTGCTTTGATTGTACTACATGATATTACTGCAAGCAAATATGGGTAGTAAATATTAAAATATAAGTACATATTAAGGAGCTGGTAGAATCCATGATGAAATCATGTGCATCATCAAGATATCACATGAATAATGCAATTTAAGTGATTAGATCAGTCATGTCATGAAGCAAATGATTTAATTACTTCATATGCATAACTGTGACCTCTGTATTGTCACTTTCCCCCATGTTTCTCCTAATGGATAGCCATGATTACATGAATGATCTCTTGCCTTAAATATATTAGGAAGCTTAGGTTATGCTGTTAAGGCACGTGCTAATAGTTTATTCATACAGTTTAGGAAACTCTCAAATATTCTGCAGTACTATATCAGTGATGGGGTTTGGGGTTTGGCATGTCAACAATTCAGAAAATGCCTAACTGGTGTGTCATACACACACTTCCTCGAACAAAAGAGAAATAATTCTCTATCTTTCCCCCCCCCCCCCAAAAAAAAATAAAAATAAAAATCTAGGCCACTCTGAACAAAAGCACTTGACAGCAGCACCAAGGCTGGGCCTGAAATGGAGCCCAGGCCTTGACTTCAGCCTTAGACACTACCGCTGCAACTCAAAAAAGGCTTTTTTGCACCATTTTCCAAGGCAGACAAGACTTGAAGAAAAGTGCAATTGTCTTGGTGGCACAGAGCTCCCCAGGATCTGCTATGCACTGCTAATCTTCAAGTGGGGTTCTCTTTCTGTTGACAGTCCCTACCTGAGACTTTCATTCTTAAAACAGCGTCAGAGAATGCTCTTCCATGGGCTCTGTAGCCTCAGAAAAGCATGCAAAAGCAGATCTCATTTTCTTACGATTTTTGAGGCTCTGTACACTTCCCAATAGCATAATCCATTCTCACATGGCCTCTGTAACCTCCAAAATTACTTGAGATCAGACATGCTCTTGAGAATAGTTATCATCCATTTATGACCATGGATGTGTCACCCAAAATGTTCATGACATGTCACCTTTGACACGGATCATAGTTTTGCCATCACTAACCCATATCATGGAGATGGACAGAACTCAGTCTGTTCATGACTAAAGATAAACAAATAAAAATCCAGAAAACATTCCTGTCTGCCTGCATACCATACCAATCCCAGATTTTTCCCTTAAATTGTAACAGTAAAAGTAAAAAGATTGCGTAACTAAAATGCCAAAACATATTAAATTTTTAATATTTAACATATTTTTAAAAGCTTAACAACGAAGCACATAAATAACAAAGTGATTAACACAGTTGGCTTCTGGCTATTTAAAGGGTATGGAATTAAGTTCTCCACCCAGCCATCCCATTCATGCCAAGGCAGCAAAATTTGCTGCTGCCATATAAGCAAACTTAACGGGTGTGGCACCTATACATATTAACTTAGACAGCTGCAATTTTACTCCTAATTAATACCCTTTGGAACTCAAAAAGAGATTTAATTATAATGCTAATTAGAATTAATTACTGCATCATTTGCAAGATGAATAACCACTGATCAATAGACCTCCCTCACAACATGGAAAGTCCACTGGAGCATCTACTACAAGCAATTTTTGAGCAGAGGAAATCTTGAAGTATTTGTGTGGCCCAAACTTAAATTTTCACAGCTACTTTAACTCATTAAAGCAAAATAGGAGCTATTGCAAAGTTATTATAGAGAAGATATACAAACCAAAGGACAGTTTTATGCCAAATCAAAAGAACAAAAAAGGTCATCTGAATGCAAAAAATTAACATCTTACTTCACATTAAAACAGATAGCTATGTTTTATCCTAGATGATGGACCAATAAGTTATAAAGATGCATCTAAAGTTTCCACACCATGCTCAATTACATGTGCACTGAAATACATAGTGAATGTTGATACTAGCTAAGTAACATGTAGATTGATAGATATTTATTGGCTGTATCTAATTTAAATTTGATATCATTTAAAGTGAAATGGTTTACTGAAGTCTAAAGATACTATTTGGGTTGTTATACTTGTCCACCAATCTGAACTTCAAGATGATTCTTTTGTCCTAAACTTTGAAGCATTTAATTTTTTAAAAAATAATGAAAAAGCAACTTGACTAACCTGCTTATTATTCTCATGGTAAGCTTGAACAAAGCACTGTGTAAACACCTGCATTACAGTCATTATTTCTTGAGCTCCGTCAGTTTCCAACAGTGCATTCCTGAGCAGTGAAAAGCTTAATTACGACAGGTCAGATTATGAGTGTGCCAATCACACAGTCGTTAATTGACAGAAGGAGACAAAAAATACCCAAACAAGAACATTCTTCTCATGTCTCAACCTTTGGACTTAACCCATCTAAGCTTTTAGACCACTTGGGAAGTAAAGAAAACCCAACTTCATTTTGCTTGCTCTTGAATATGACTATATTAAAAACCTGTCTATTACTTCCGTTAGAAGAAATCCTTCTGATGATGTTGGAACATTGTTTTTCAACAGTAAACTATGTGATGTACTATATCTACTATAATTGAAGTACACAGTTAAGTTTCTTAGTTACAAAATCTCACACTAAAATATGCCTGTAAAATTAAACAAATGGTGAAAATGGCAATAGAAAACATTCCTGTGCATTCCGTTACAATATTCCTTCATTTCTCTTAATCCCCAATATTTTAGATATACTGCTGGCTTTGGAAGCTGGAAGTGTAATTAAGTTAATGAGTCAATAAGTATGTTTTTGATGTGCAGCTCTACAAGTCCCCATCAGCAATTTCATATAGAAATGATGAAAGTCTTGGATAAACTCTGTTTTATCAGTCTCACTAATTTACCCGTCTTTCCAATTCTGTAACTGTGAATGCTTAGAAAAGGAAAAAAGACTGGTTCTAGTGGAAGTAACCATTAAGTGAATATAACAGAGGAAGGGGGCAAGAATAGACATTTTCATGTTTTCTGAGCAAGAATTTGCATTTCTAATCCTCAATTCCCAAAAATGGCTGCTATCACATTCTATACTCAGAAGATCATCTGCTTCTAATCCACTCATTCAGGGTTTAAGAGCCAAGGAGCCTAATAATCAATAAGAGGTGCCTTAATCACTTAAAATAAATTAATTAAAAAGGAAGGACATTCCATCAAAATAATTTAGGGAATGGGATTATGGAAGTCTCTGCTAATAAATCAGTTTTCTTCAGATGTAATTTACATAGAGAGATAAATAACTAAAAGCAATTTTTCTTTGCACTACAGAATTAGCCATTTTTTCATATTCTCATTATTTAAATTATAAGTAATATAAATTCACCTTTGCATACAATATAATTCCCACTGAGATTAGAAAGACATCAATGCAATTTTTTTCTGAAATATTGTGAAGTTATTTGTCATTCCCATTTTTTGGGGGGATTATGTTTAAAATAATCTAGTCTAGTCTTTAATTCTTAGTTTTCCATCTAAGTCCTATTAGCTCAGATCCTGCTTGGTTTCTGAATGATGCAATTAAATTCAATTGTTTACACTGTATCTTTATATAAGTAATATAAGTAAGTCAACCCCAAAAACTGTGTTATAAAAGAATCTGAAGCAGTTTTGTGAAGAAAAACCATTCCAAAAATTCATTTAAAAAGGCCATCATGTAGAAAGTAATGGCTTCAGGTTAAGATATATTAAAAATATTCTTATGCCTACACATACACACACATATATAAATCTTGACATGTAATAATTCATTCTATCAAATATGTATCTATCATATTCAAACAACTGTATATGATCTAATCGTTTTAAATAGTTCTTCCTTCCACATAAATACATGCAAACTTACTTGAAAATTTCATCAATAGTTCTGAAGACAGCTGGATGACATGCAGCTCGGTGCTGCAAAAAAAATTGAGTAATTTAGAATCTTGTAGGGAAAAAAAGTCATGTTTTCAACAATAAGAAGAAAAATGAATTATTGTCAGGTTAGTTTAGCCTTACTATCAAAAAGTATTTTTCTCCCAAATAGTGACGTTAAAGGGCAAATGAAGCTGGCAGTAATAATAATCAAATATATATTTACTAAGTATGTACATAAAAATGAGAAATTTGTTTAGGATAAAACAACCACATTCAAAATGTTTATTTTATTATGAACTATGCTCCAATTGAATTAGATATTCAAGGATGTCAATGTTTGTGTTTCACTAGAGCAGAACTCGATGCCAAGTTCATAGAAAAGTGAGAATTTGGAACAAACCATTTTTAATTTTTTTTTTTTTAATGTTAGGGCTATAAGCCTAAATGAGACAGTAATCCATGCAGATTGGGATCCGCAATCCAAGCTACACAACAAATATTGAGAGGGAGAGATGGGTGCCTGTCTATCACTTGCCATAATAAAACAATTATTTACGACAACTATCATTTTTTAAAAGAAAAATTATCTAGAGGTAATTCATGGCTTACAAAGAAAATTGGGACAGAATTGCTAAGTGGCGTGGTTGTAAAGCACAATGACATGTGACCCTGTTTAGTGATAGCAGTTCAGGCAGTCCCAGGTACCATTGTTAAGTAAGAGTACAATGTTAATGGATATACAAAGTAAATAGTTTTGTTCAGGTCTTTTTCTAAAAAAAGTAGAGAAACTGGATGAAAGTTGATCATGATGAGGTGTTAAAATCCCTACTCATCATGTTCAGCAACTATGCCTAAAGGAAGTTTCTAAGTGCATTCAAGTAAATTTATGGAAAAGTACCTTTTGAACTTCCTTGTTTAAAGAATTTAAAGGGTTGAGAGGATATATACAGAGACATGGGATGCAGAGACTGAATACATGCGCTGCTTGACTCTGTTCAGCTAGAGACTAAACAAGACTTTGCAAAGCTGAAGTTAAGATAACCCATACAGTAGTTCCCCCTCTTCTAGCCTTGTAAGGAAGGCTAAACAAAATTAGCAAGCAGTCTAACCTTTTCAGGAGCAAGCTTCATTAGATGTGAACTGCCCCAGCAATTTCTATTTTCTATTTTGTAGGAGAGACTAGTTTTAAATGGAGGTGTTATTATGAAACCAATATCACTATTCTCTAAAGCATTATTAGGCTCCTCTTATTTGATGAGTACCTGATCCCAGGTTTTGTTAGCTTATACTGCACGAATCAAAAAGAGGGCTGTGAAAATATTTACAGGCCCCTCATATCCCGGACATAAACTGTTTCAACTCCTTCCCTCAAAACAACGCTATAGAGCACTGCACACCAGAACAACTAGACACAAGAACAGTTTTCCTGAAAGCCATCACTCTGCTAAACAAATAATTCCCTCAACACTGTTCAATTATTACAAAATCTGCACTACTATTACCGTTAATCTTCTCATCATTCCTTATCACCCATCACCTCCCACTTGTGACTGTATGACTGTAACTCTGTCGCTTATATCCTTACGATTTATATTGACTATTTCCTAGTATGATTTGATTGCTTATTGTACCCTAAGACTATCGCTAAGTGTTGTACCTTATGATTCTTAATGAATGTATCTTTTATGTATACTGAGAGTATTTGCACCAAGACAAATTCCTTGTGTGTCCAACCACACTTGGCCAATAAATAATTCTATTCTATTCTATTCTATTCTATTCTATTCTATTCTATTCTATTCTATTCTATTCTATTCTATT